ACTTTGTGAGCTCCTGGCATTAAAGTTGTGAGCGAGCGATTTGGCTACTTCATCAATTAGTTTGCTCTGGAGCCCTCCTTCCTGAGCTAAGACAAAAAATGTGTGAGCTGGAGGCTAAAAAACTGTGCGCTAGCTCACACTAACTCAGCTTGGAGGGAACACTGCCCACCACCACCCCACTTTTCTCTCCAATGGGGGGCCTCAAGCAGCTTACAACATCATTCTCCCTTCCTCCACTTTATCTTCACTACAGCAGCCCTGTGAGCTAGAGAGAGGGTGCTTGGCCCGAGGTCGTCCAGCAAGCTTCCATGGCAGAGCAGGGATTCAAACCTGGGTCTCCCAGAATTGAGTCCAGCATCCCACACCGCTCTGACTCTTGCTTAGGTTTTAGCCACTCAGGCTGCATCCCATGCTGTTCCCAGGGGGTTCTCTGACCTAGGAGGAGGAAAGCTTTTCAGATTTTCAGGAGATCTGCAGAAGACAGGATAGTCTGTTCTGCCAAGGTGTCTCTGTCCTGTTAGTGTTTCTTAGGATCCAACTCTTCTTTTTGAGATGCGGGCATCAAGGTTCCCTCTAAGCTGTGGAGTCCTGTGAGCAAAAATTCTACTTTGTGAGCGAGCGATTTGGCTCCTGCATAAATTAGTGTGCTCTGAGCTAAGGCTCTGAGCTAAGGCAAAAATGTGTGAGCCGGAGGCTAAAAAGCTGTGAGCTAGCTCACACTAACTCAGCTTAGGGAACACTGAGGGAACACTGGCGGGCATTACAACTGGATTAACTTCTAAGATAATATGTCCATTCAGGGGTCATTTCGTAGAAAAAGAGGTGCAGGAGCTCATTAGCATAACTCATTAGCATAACTTATTTGCATATGCCACACCCCCTGACATCACCGGAAGTGTGTCAGAAGGCAACCCCCCCCGCTCAGGCTCCACTGGACTGTTTTGGATTCCTAGCTATTGGGGGGGGATGTGCAGATCTGTCCTCGCAGAGGAGGGAGAGCTTGTACCTGAATAAAACTTGGTCTTAAAGGTGCCACTGGACTTGCTAGCTATGGGGGGGGGACACGCAGATCTGCCCTCACAGAGGAGGGAGAGCTTGTACTTGAAGGTGGGCTGGGGGAGGGGGTTCTGCAACTTACCTGGCTGCTTCTTGCTCCTCATGGCCTGACTGAGGGATGCTGGGAGCAGGGGGCGGGGCTTGTTGCATGTGCCCGCCCCCTGAGCTCCTTACTGCCCGAGCTCCACTCCTGTGCGCTCCCACAGGAAATGACCCCTGTGTCCATTCAACAGAACTTGACTGTTCTTCAGTGTTATCTGTTAGGAGCCTTCCTGCCTGTAGAGGTGGTGGACAGTCTCTGTAGTAGAGCCACATTATCTGGTCATGGGGATGGATGGCCCTTCTGGTTTACCTCCTGGTGGCACCTGGATTTTGGCGATAAGAACATAAGAGAAGCCAATGCTGGATCAGGCCAATGGCCCATCCAGTTCAACAGTCTGTCACACAGTGGCCAAAAATACCAGGTCCCCTCAAGAGACACAGAGTGTTGGACTGGATGCACCATCGGCCTGATCCAACACGGCTTCTCTTATGTTCTCATATTCTTAAGAGACGTTCCTTCCCTCCACACTTAACCACTGCAACCCTTTGGCATTATCCAGAAGAAATTAAACATTTCCCAGTGGTATTGCTTTCTGTGGGAAACTGTAAAATTCTGGAAGGATGGATGGTAGACAGAGATAGATTCTAGCTAATGATCTATGGATGCTTATGGGTGCAGGGATGAGAGGCCCTGTGTCCATTATTCGAAGAGAAGAGCAGTGCGCTCCTTTCTTTGTGTGTGTGTGTGTGTGTGAGTGCGAAAGACAGAAAGGAAATTGCTCCCTAAGAAGTATCAGTCTATACATCAAAGGGGACAGTGACAGAAGAGTAAGCAGGTAGTAAGCTCAGTGTCTGCCCATCTTTTGTCACATCTTCTGGAGGCTGGAGCAAAAAAGATAGCGTCAAGTCCTTGTCTTCAAAATCATCTTCAGTCCTCTCCAGATACATCCAAACGAACTGTTTATTTATCTGCTCTCAAGGCTGCAATCCTATGCACGCTTATCTGGGAATAAATCCTATGGCACTCAATGGGATTTACTTCTGAGTAGCTCTGCTTAGGCTTTCACTCAATATCTTCCCCCAAGTTGCAAGTAACTGTGGTGCTCTATGGGGAGACAGGGACCAAAAGCAGCAGCAGAATAACAGATTTTCTTAGGATGGGTTCAAATACACAAATGTGTGGACAAATTAACACATCAAAATAGATTAGCAAAAAATATATATCAGGTGAGTGCAGGTGCTTTTACACTGTTTGGAATCTATTCATATCTTTTGCCAGCCTATCTTCTATTTCATACTAGGAATTTATGGAAATATGAGATTTGCTAAAGAATGCAGGTATAGGAGATAAAGCCATCAAGAAATCTGGCACAGCTGTAGATCAAAACGTATTACAACAATTGCAAATGTTTAATTTTTGTTCCTTTGTTTCCCTTCTTGTTGCTCTTGTTTTGCATTTGCCTTTTTTTAATCTTTCCCCCATGGTTAATATGCAGTTATGTGTAGGCATTGTGTGATTGAGTAATAAAACTTAAATTAAAAATCTCACAAACTGGTGAGCAAATAGTTTAGATACGAAACACAAAGAGATGGAAAAGCCCTCAAAGTCTGTAGCAGTCTGAAGATGGAGGTGATGCAAACCTCATTAATTTAGATGGTGCAAACTAGATTTTAGGTTGCACCAAGGGCTGATAAGGACAGAGAGTAGGGATGCCAGCCTCCAGGCGGGACCTGGGGATCCCTTGGACTTACAGCTCATTTCCAGACTACAGAGATCAGTTCCCCCGGAGAAAATGAATGCTTTGGAGGGTGGACTCTGTGGCATTGTACCCCACTGAGGTCCCTGCCCTCCCCAGGCCCCATCCCCAAATCTCTAGGAGTTTCCAACCTGGATCTGGCAACCCTACCCCCACACCATCCCCTCCCAGTGGTTGGAAGGACCTAACAACCCTAATAGAGAAGCAAGAAATGATGGCTTCCTTTGGAAAATATAAAAGCCAGCAGTACTTTGGATCTGTCTCCAGCACCTAATGGACCCAGGACCAGCTCCAGGTTTTATGTCTGGTCCATGGGGTCGCGAAGAGTCGGACTCGACTGTGCGACTGAACAACAACAAAAAGGAGCTGCGGTGGTTCAAGTGGTTAAGATGCTGAACTGCAGGCTGTGGAAGGTCGGTAGTTTAGCAGTTTGAGACCCGAGTGTGCCGCATAACGGAGTAAGCTCCCATCTCTAGTTCCAGCTCCTGCCAACCTAGCAGTTCGAAAGCAAGAAATTGCAAGTAGATAAATAGGTACTACTTCAGTGGGAAGTTAACAGCGTTCCATGCGCCTCGGTGTTTAGTCATGCCAGCCACATAACCACGGAAATGTCTTCAGACAGCGCTGGCTCTTTGGCTTTGAAACGGAGATGAGCACTGTGCAACCCTAGAGTCAGATTCGACTGGCATTTGAGCAAGGGAACCTTTACTTTGCTTTTACTTCTAGGCGAGGCTACCTTCTGGTCTCCAATGGTCACCGATGGTTCCCTCAAAAGGCAGAGAGGGAGTAAAAAGAAAACCATCCTGCACTGGTGTAGTACTGAATAAGAGGCTGAGCTATAATCTAGCAGGTCCTAGGTTTGCATCTTCTCTGTCTTACAAACATGCTAAGTGATCTTAGGTTTTTTATCCTCAGCCACCTAATTTCTAACATTACTTGCCTCTCTCATATGTCAATACTGAAACTAGATAAGGTGTTTAAAGTGAACACTAAAAATGCCATATAAATGCATACTCTATTTGCAAAGCTGGAGATTGATTTTATTTGCTCTGGGTAAGAATAAAAGACAGTTTGGGTAGTGTCACCTAGTGCCCAGAGAGCCCATAACCCCCATAACCAAAGTCCCATCATGCCACATCTTCCTTTCCTTCTGCCTTAGAGGGGACGTAGTGTTCCCTCTAAGATGAGTTGGTGTGAGCTAGCTCACAGTTTTTTAGCCTCCGGCTCCCACATTTTTGTCTCAGCTCAGGAAGGATGGCTCCGGAACAAACTAATTTATGCAGTAGCCAAATTGCTCGCTCACAACTTTAATGCCAGTAGCTCACAAAGTAGAATTTTTGCTCACAAGACTCCACAGCTTAGAGGGAGCTTTGCAATCTTCTCACATCCGTAGCACGCACCAGCATTGATTCACTGATCTGCTCAG